CAGAATTGCTCCGGGCCCAGCGTCTGCTCAGCTGCAAAGGTCTCGGTGGCTTCCCAGGCATATGCTGGCTGGCACAGTGCTGGAGCACTCCCTGAACAGCCCACACGACACAGGCAGCGGGGATTAATCTAATGCTGTGTGGAGATGCTAATACAATAAGGGTTCTTTGTGGCATTAGCTGGAATCATGAGACCAGCTCTGAGATGTCATTGCCTGGCAGTCATAGGGAGTGCTGGCCAGGAGCTCTCCGTAGAGAAGGAGCTTGTCTCCTGCTCCCAGCCCTAAAGCTGCTGTGGGGCAGGGAGAGGGCAGCGAGCCCTCCCTTCCCTGGTGCCAGCTTGTTTGGGAACAGCACGCAACCTCTGCTGGTGAATCCAAGGACAGCTGAGGGAACAATGGTTATTTTAACAGGGATAACACTTTTCCTTGATTTTTCCAGGAGCTGCAAAGCTGTGGATGCCAAGGGGATGCTCAGAACCACAGGGTCACATCTTACCCCAGTGGAGTCTCCATGGAGACTCGCGGGACTCGGGTTTCGCTATAAAAAGTGTTGCAAAACCAGATGAGGTCAATGAATGGTTTGTGTCAGTTCCAGCAGACACTTTCATCTCCCATATCAGCTTTGTACCCACAGAGCTTCAGGGCCTGATCCTATCCCAACCCCAGGGAGAGCTCCATCCCGTTCAGTACGTTTGTTCTGCTGGAAAACCAGCATCAAGCACCAGCAGAGAAGGTGGGCAAGGGTCCATGAGGGTCCCCAAACCTCACACAGTGCCCTGAGGGACACAAACTCCCTCACAGCATGGAAGACTCCAAAGCCTTTCCACAGTACCACACAGGCAGTGAAAAATCCCCACATGACACAGTGAGGGTCCCAAACCATCCACAGGGCTTCATGAGGTGACAAAACGCCCCCAGGGCACTACGAGGATTCAAAAACTCCACATGGTTCCATGAGGGTCTCAAAACTCCACATGGTTCCATGAGGGTCCTAAAACTCCACATGGTTCCATGAGGGCCCCAAACTTCCAGAGCCCTCGATGAGGGGACCAGACCCCCACAGTGCACCATGAGGGGACCAGACCCCCACAGCGCTGCACTAGGGGACGAACCGCCTTCCTTCCCTCGCCATGGCCACCCAGGCCCGCCCAGCAGCCTGAGGAATCCCCGCTCCGAAGGGAACATTCCCTGCGCGCCCGTCCCGCCCCGCTGAGGGA